TTCTCCTCGGCAATACATTCAATACTTCACAACAGAGTTAGCCAAAGTCTATTATCATTGCCAAGCATAAAGCAACATAAAAGGTTTGGTATTAAATTATAAATATTTTTTTAACAAAATGTTTAGACATTGCTGCATGAGTCATTTCTCAAGCTGCAGTGTGTAATAGTTATGTGGTGATGATAGCAAAAAATAATAAATAATGATTCCTTATTTTGGTGTCAGGACCAAAGTCAAATTGAAAATTGGGGCTCTCAACATGTTTTATTATGGAAAAATATCAAATGTGCATGTGTAAAGCATGAACAAATTCTTAAAAAGAAAGGTTGCTCGTGGACTGGATTTTAGATCATTTCGGAAATAGGATATCCAAACTTCGGGCTTTGTACTGTAATATTAATGTCTAATGCCTGTTTTTAAATAAAATTCCAGAGGCCTGGTACAGTTGAAGATAAAAAGAAACTTCTGTTTGTGCCATTACAAAGCGAGGTAAAAGATGTCTTTTTCTTTTTGTGGTTAAATGAATTATCAAGGAGAAATAAATGCTTTTTCTTAAAATACTGTCTTAAGCTGAAAACTTGGTTCTGTGCCCCACTTTCCCGATTTTTTTTTAACAACTTGGGATTAAACCTTATCTGCTTTCAGTTAAAATTTATTGTCAAATTTTAATAAGAGTACATGGCTTAAGTTTGAATAGTGACACCTAAGAAAAGTTTTATTTACTATTAGTCAAATAGAATTTATTTTATAATGTTCCCCCTAGACAAGTTTCTATTAACAAAATCTTATTAATTCTTTTAATAACATTATATAACAGATTATGCCGATATGGCTTGGCAGTAAATTAGGGGTCTTCAATCCATGGCCTGCTGAAGGCATTTTAGTGGCCCCACATTTGAATTTGAAGAATTTTGATTTCAAGAAAAATTGGGTTAAAGTGCAGAATCGCTCACTTATTTGGCGCTTTTTATGAGATTGATAAGAGTGCCAAATGTGGTATCCAAGTTGATTTTGCCGTTCTGAAAGGCGAATTTCAGAGCATTTTCGCGCATGTGCAGTATGTATTTTTAAATTGAGAATTTCTTTTGAGTGCGAAATTCGGAGCATTTTCGCGCATGCTCAGTATGTATTTTAAAATTTAGAATTTCTGATTGGTGTAGATGATAATAGATGGTAGAGGTGCAGTTATTTTCCAAGAACATTTTGAGAATTCGTTACTTTTCATTCATCGGCTGAGCGGAGTGGATTACCCCTTCTCAGGTAAGTGAAAGTACAGTCAAAAGTCGTTAATCCAGACTCGTCGGGACTTCGGCGATTCCGGATTATAGATCATCAGTTTAAATCTCATAAGATGGCATGCAGAAATTCTAAAATTAAAAATATGAAATCGTAATTTATGAAATAAAGAACAATTATGATCTAAAGGGTATCAAAATTTGCAAAAAGAAAAAGCTTAATATTTATTTGTTTACTTTATTAAACATTTCTTTCAATGTAAGTTGTTTAAGTTTTGCTTCGTTTCATGTGATAATACTTTCTCTTTAATTCTATTAAACAGACATAATTTCTTGTTCAGTTACAAAGTTCCACTGTTCAAGTCCTATAATTGCTGTGTCGAGAACACCGACTAATTTGTCAATCGAAATTTTTTCGTTTTCAATAACCTCTGTCACTTTCTTCGCTATCGGAAGCGAATTATAATGACGAGGAACTTGTTTTAAATCATATCAAAGACGGAGCATATTGAGATGAAATACTACATTTGGTAAGGAATTATAAGCAAAATAAAATAAAAAACATCTGCGCTGAAGATAAGGATAGTGCTGATCAACAATCAACTTCCAATTCATTACGCCCCCCGCACCGCGGCGTTCCCCCGTGCCGAGCAGCGTGAAATTGATAAACAGATTTCGGATTTCAAAAACATACTTTCGCTTTAGATCCTTTACATATTAACAAATATATATCGGAAATTCTATTTGATATAATCGAAAGTTTAAGCTTACTTTTTATAAAATTGCTCTTACACAGTCTGCAAAAAATAATAAGCCAGATCCAATTTCGAAATTAAGGAACAACGCAATCATCAACATAACTGAAATAGATAATTAGATAATTTTAGCTTATACGTCCATTATACATAAAACGTGCACGCGAAAACGTATTCTGCACTTGCGCACACTCATATGCGCAGTCGTAAAAAGTCTTACGCGCACGCGTAAACGCCTATGCGCATGTGTCAACGTGGCGCATGCGCAGAAAGTTTTTAGTTTTGAGGTCCGGATTATAGATCATTCCGAATTAACGACTTTTGACTGTATTTTAAATTTTCAGTGTTTTGTAACGATTTTAAGTGTTTGAAACGATTTTTAGTTTTTAAAATTATGTTTTTTTAAGGACTGGATTTTCATATTTTAAAATTTTTTGGAAGTAAAAGTGTTAATTTTTCAGGGTTTTGTAAGGATTTTATGTTCTTTAAACTTACTATGTTTTTGAAATGATTTTAGTTTTTAAAGTTAAGTTTTTTTAAAAAATTTCCCACTTATTTGTTTGGCACTAAAGAATTTGACTTTTGTCAATTTTCTTTGAGTTTTTTAAGTGAAAATATATTGATGTGTACATGGATGAAGTCAAGAGTGTGTGCAATGCCATTTTTGTGCAATTCTGGGATGTTTTTTTAAGTGAAAATAGGTCGATTTGTACATGGATAAAGTCAAAGGAGTGCACAATGCCATTTTTGTGCAATTCTGGGATTTTTTTTAAGTGAAAGTAGATCGATGTGTACACGGATACCAAGTTTGTAGAATTCTTAAAAACATGCCAAGCAGTGGGTGATTCTGCACTTTCCTCAATTTTTTTATAGGTGAATGTATTTTAATTCTTCAGGGTTTTGTGATGATTTTAAGTTTTTGAAGCTTACTATGTTTTCTTAACCATGTTTGTTTTTTAAAATTATTATGCTGTTTTTAAAGGATTTACAGTTTTCGAAATTTTGCTTCAACTTTTATTTAGTATTTATTTTACCTGTTCGCCATAGCAAGTGTCGTGCTTTGCGTAGCGTCTTCTGGAAGGGTTGCAATTCCAGGAGGCAAGACGCGAGAGCGTGCCAAAGTTACGTTTTTGAAAAACACGCCAAGCTGTGGGCGATTCTGCACTTTCCCCAAAAATTGCCTTGTCAGCTTTTTGTCGTACGATTTTTTTTTTTTTTTGTTCTCTTATTCTTGATATTTAAAGCATTTTATTGACATGCCTGATATTATTTGAGATAAAAGTTTCTGAAAATGATCTCAATGATTTGAACTACCGCTTACTGGGAAAAGATCTTGTTCATAATCTTTATTAAGCTTTTGAGACAAAATTAATCCTGTCTGTTAGTCAGCTGCTAAATAAGAATTCCACTCACTTTCCAAAATCGATGGAGTGTGTGAAGAACTCTACAACATGGAATTCAAATAATTATGTACAATGCATTTCAAATTTTAAAGAGGAATTCAAAACCAGATTTTCCGATTTTCGTAAAAATTAAATTGTTATCAGAATGTTATCCTCACTATTTTCAGTAGATGTTGGAAGTGTTCCATCTGAACTTCAATTAGAATTTACAGTGTGACTATGCAGTAAAATGCAAGTTTCTTGAAAATCCTACATTAATTGATTTTTACTTGAAGTACGTGACCGAAGACAAGTATCCAGAAATTCGTAAACATGCACTCTTCATATCTTCTATCTTTGGCAATACCTACATACGTGAAACAACTTTTTTGACAGACATTTGGAGGAAACTTTACGAATTGCAACAACACAGATTAAACCAAATATTGAAGCTTTAATCAAGAAAAAACAATGTCAAATTTCACATTAAAACTAAAGTAACTATTATCTCCTGCCAGTAATGTAAGTCTTTTTTTTCTTTTTGTAAATGCATTTTGTAACATGGTTCTGTATAATCATCTTATACTTTTCATTTCATAGTTAAAAAAAGGTGCAAAACATTTAAATTCGATTTCTATTTGACTTTTTGGAACCAATGTATATATATACAAATCTGTAACACCATCTCTTCGCTTAGTATCAATTGTAGTCTTGCAAAACAAACCTCCCTTTTTTATATAAATTTTCTGACTACACTATTTTTTTTTTTTGACAGGCCCACAGATCTTTCCGAATTTATTGATGTGGCCCTCTGGCATGAAAGGTTGAACACCCCTACCGTAAATACATATGTAAGCCAACAAGCAACATTTTCCCTAATGAGACTATTTTAAAGATTCTTCTTTTTGCAATGAATTTGCTACTGCAAATAATCCCATCTCGCTATGGTAAATAATAGACAACATGCCCGTAAACTTACTCTGATTCCCTCCCCCCAATCGGTCATTAAGTTGAAATTTTGGTCATTCACAAATTAATGATAAAATTTTCTGACCTGAATATCATATTTTGTCCTATAATATATTAAAGAATTTAGTAATTAAGATCTTGAAATATTTTATCAATGTCCTTGGCAAGGAACTAATCAACATTGTTTATAACACATATTCTGAACATGAAGTCACTTCTGTCAAACAAAGTCTGTAAATAAGCAGAATGCATTAAAATAACACAACCAAGTTAATTTTCATACTTTACCCAAAAACTTACTTGCAGCTTCTACACAAATTAAATAAAAATGCTACATTTATTGGAAATGTTCTCAGCCTGAAATTTATCAGCATAATAGAATATGGTATGAAAAAATACACATGTTAAAATATATTTCATTATTATTTCAGAAATATGCAAAACTTGCAAGGGATATAGAACGGTTTGCAACGGCCTCAACATTAGGGGGCATAGATTATTTAAACTTATTCAATTTAATGTGAAAAGTAATTACGTTATCAGCCGATTTATAAAAGGTGTATATTTAATAGAATCGCACGCTTAACTACACATTTAATTTGCCAACAAAGCCACTATTCACATTTTCAATGAATGTATAAATTCCTGAAAAAAATTACGTATCATCGCTGCTCAGTACAGAGAAGAACTCAACCAAAGAATATGTCCAAAGAATAGACTTTCTTTGACTCAACCACTTGACAACGTTAAAGTTCAAGGTTCTTTAATATACTAAAGTTGTTAAAGCCAATTAGCCGAAGAACATAGCCACGAACCGAGAGCTGACGCCAAACATCTTGGCGAGAAAGTTGTTGATAGACCTTCCTACAACCCCAAAAATGTAACTCCTCCTACTTCTTACCCCTTCTGATGATTTCCTGCTAATAGTCTCTGTATTTTGGTTGGAAACAAAGAAACTTGAAATACGTTACAATCAGATTCTGTTGACGTATTTAGCACCAGAATCAATCACTATTATTAATAACTACATTTCATATGGTGTAGCAATTTATTTTCTACAATAAAAGACTTCCCATTATGGTTCATCCTGCTGTGTTGTGTGTTGGTATCGCTGCTGGAATTCTTTTATTACTTTGGCTTACAGAAGACTCTGGTCGTACTCCTGTTCCTGTATCATCGAGATCAAACAGGCCTTCAAACAGCAATGCCACAGCAGCTGATCACAAACCTGAGGAGTGCCTGATATGTTGTGATCGGCAAGTAAATACACGATTTAATCCCTGCGGACATGCTTGCCTGTGTGTTAAATGCATTCATGTGTATCAGAACTACGATAAGAAGTGCCCTATTTGCCGTACCAATTCAGAAGGTTTTTCGAGATTACGTTGAACACTTGTGTACTGAAACATATATTTTTTTTCATGAAATTGCCGGAAATTTTTTTTTTGTTTTGTTTTTTGTTTAACAATATTCCACGTGTAGAACATTTTGAAATAACCACTTGCATCATTAAAAAATAAGTATCATCTAACAAAAATCATTTACAATGAAACCTTGAGAATATGATTGTTTTTAATTAATTCGTGCTCAGATGAGAAATGCAATGCACTAAATTACAGTTTAAGTAATTTTAAAACTCTTAAAAGCACAAAATGGGGTCTGTTTTATATAATTTCTTCTATAATATTAAATCGGTGTATATCCAAGACTTTAAACTTACTTTGCATTAATTGCACCTCTGAAAGTTCTCTCAAGTTAATATTGTATTGATAAAAATTCCAACACTCATAAGTGAGTCATTCAGTATTTTTTTTACAGAGGTTTAATTTATCATTATTTAAGGCATTACTGTTTTGCGAATGAATTTTGTTATAGTTCCTTGAATGTTGAATTCCATGTACATTTATCTTAATTGATGCTTATTGCTTTATTATTTTAATATTTGAAGTAGCAAAAATGTTAAAATTTTAAGGTTATCAGTAAACTTTAATGTCTATGTTTAAGTGCTCCACCCACGAAAGAAACAAAATGTGAATTGTAATTTAGGTATCAAAATCATAAAAAAGTTGCATTATAAGCAGTGTTAAGCCTTCTCTATGTACTTTTAAATATGTAATCCTAACAGCCTCTTTAACATATGTAATTTTATTATTATTAGGCTTTATAATTAAATAAGTATGTGATTCCTCTGTAATGTGGAATTTTTTTTTTTTTTTTTTATGGTTTCTCTGTTCAAAAAGTTAACATTTTAACCTTAATTATATAGTTGCAGTCAATTCTCATGTTTGCCATATTGGAACAGCTTTAGTATTGGTCCTTTTGGCAATTTTTTGATTTGGCGACAAACGTTGGTCGCCAAGGTAGACCCGGCTTTGAAGATCGGAAAAAAAAATGGCGTATTGTCAACAAAACCCGATCTAGACTAAATAACAATCCTAAAAAATAAACTCTTAATCAGAATAAACAGTCTTTCTCTAATTTTCAACATTTCTAGAACTGCTATGATAAATTCTTGAAACACTACTGTAAATGAATTTATAGCAATTATTATGTTATGAGTAATGAAATTTACAAAAGGTTAATATTTTAAATTACAGAATATAATATTAATGTATTAAACATTAATATTTTAAGTAGTTAATATTTATATTTTATTATATTAGTACTTAGCTAATATTTGAAATTTACAAAAGGTTAATAAATGCATTTCAAACTAATGTTACTTTAGTTACTTTAGTTTCTTAGATTCTGTTATTAAAAGAAAATAAAAAAATATTTCAAAATGAAGGAAATCAAATTAAATTATAATGGGCAAGTTTTGTACCAGTGTTAGAAATATTTTTTATGATTAAATTTTGTAAATGGTAAAAATATTAAGAAGTGCATTTTTTAATCCCTTAATTTATTAGAAGTAATTTATGATTATAATTTAAAAGCTAAAATTAAATTATTATAATGAGTAAATTTTGTACCAATGGTAATAATACAACAATCATCATAAATGATGATGATTTCTGTGAAAAATTCGAACAGTCATTGGAATCCACTAGTGTGTGGGTGATAGCCACTGAACAGTGGTAGTTCAGGCTGGCTATGGGAGTTTTTTTGTAGTTTTCCGTACATGTAATGTGAATCTGAGGCCCAGTTTTTCTCTTAAAAAGTACTTTATGAAGGTATCCTTCTTCTGCTAGCCAGCACATGTATTATTTTCTATTCATGATGCTCTCTTATTTTATTTTTCTTAATTCTTACTTCTTAAGTGAAAATAGATAAGATAATCTTACTTCTGAAGTGAAGAAGTGTTTTGCATCTATAGGTCGAACAATATGGTCTATATGTTTGAAAAAACCTGTTCAGTTTTGGGAAAGCATTTAAAATAAATAAAATTTGTATATGATGCAAACAAAAATGCATTTACCCTATTCATGTAGTGAATAATTAATCAGGAACAAAGTATATTGTAGCGTTCCTTTATTTTGTAACCAGAGTTATTTTATGCTTGGGATCTTTACTGTCAATTCCTCCATCTGTTTTCTCACCAGAATCTAAAAATGAAGTTTTTTTAGTTTGTAAAAACAACCATGTTTTGCCTTTCGAGGCCATATTACTAGGTTGCTAGATAAGATAAGATTTGTAGTCTTCAGTCTTGCATTATAATTGCTGATAGTTGAATTCCATGCCGGTTAAGTTTTTAACCAACTTTGCATTAAATTGACACATTTATTTGAATTTAAATTTTACATTTGGACTTAATTGTTATCATAAGTTATCTTGCCACAAGTGGTTGACTGAGTCGTAAGCACAAAGTGTGCCTTCTGTTCTGTACATCTAAACTTTATAATAGAATAAAAGTATATCCTAACTTAATAAGAATATATCTAAACTTTATAATAATAACATTTAAAGACATTGAAATCAGTATCTAAGTGCTTGCCATGTAGTCAAATTTTTATGTATAATAAATTGCACTCTTACTTTTTATATAGAGTTTTTATTACAAAAAATAAAAAATGAAGATTTCTGTTAGATAAAATGTTTTAAGTATGTAGAAAATTTGCATAAAATTTAAAATAAAAGTCGACTGTTATGTCAACATACTATATAATAATACTATAAGTAATAATACCCAGTGAAGGTTATTCATATACAGCTGTTAGGTTGTAAGATTTACAAAATTTGAGAACTCCAAATTATAAGCAATATATTCCATAATCTAAGCAACATTATATTTTTTATAGTCAGACAAATTATAAAAATGTTATAAAAGCAATAATGAAACCTGATTTTGGTCCTGATTTGAACCTATGAATTCATGCAATTACACATCCCTATAGTTGTAATATGAGGCAAATAAGTATTTTTAGACCATGGTAATTTTGATCTTAGCAAAGGAAACACCAAAAGCTTACCTCATGCTACTGAAAATGTGTTTTTTTTTTCCTTGGGAGGGGGGAGTTTATAATAATATGCAGAGTTGACATATGAAAAAATGTCAAGACTCATGTGATGTAATATTAAAAGCACCAGTTTTAACTATTAAAATTTTGGCTTTTTAAAAAATATTTTAAATATTGTGCTTTCCTAACACAAAAGTAACTTTAAGAAAAACATGCAATTAATCCCTCCTGCCATCAAAGCTCCGATACCTACCAAATTCGTTAAATATGCGTGGACAGAAATGGCGGCATGTTTAAGCTCAGTATTTAGGGTTACCAAGGTTATCATAATTTTTCATTTATCGCTCTAAAATGTCGCCAAACAAATTTCTCGCCAAAAAGGACTAAAGGCTCGTTTCCACTACTGCGTACGAACGCGTTGCGTCAATTGAAGACACGCCTACGGCATCCGTACAAGCGTTTCCACTGCTGCGTATGCGTAAAATTATTTTCATTTTCCGCCGCTAGGTGTCACTGTAATATTTTGGCGCAAGCAGTTCGCAAGTTACGACGCCGAACATCTGAATTTTTCCCGCTTAAGCGAGTATTGTTTGTTTTGGATTTGATATGGAATTTTAGATAAGTAAGGTTATAATGCATATTATGAACATCACGAATTCCATAGAAGGTGAAATAAATAAAGTTAAAGGGATTAAAAAATAGTTGGTACTTTAAAAGTACAGAGCAACTGTAAGGAAAGGTTCACAATATTTAAGCAAAATTTGCTATGCTTGTATACCGCTGACTTCAGGGTCATAGCTGGATAATTTATTAGAAATCTCGTTTGTTTTAAAATGCACTATGGGCAGTTATATTTTATACATAATCCATAAAATATTATTTTTAATTTAAACATTTTTAATTCATATCGCTTTTATACAAGAAGTTATAAAAAAATAAGATTTTTCTCTTTATATATACACACATTAGGTAAAGAGAAATGGAAATATTTAATTAATTAATCCCTGCGCTTCTGCAGGAGAGGACTGAATTTAAAAGCAATTATTATAGTAATTTTTTTGTTAAAAAAATGTTTTAGGGCATTAATACTGTCTCATTTTAATTGGAATGAAAGTTTAGAGTCGTAAACATCCCAAAGTCTGAGCACGTGTATATACATTCACAATAAAAGTGAAACGATATATATATATATATATCTGCAGGGTTTTCAAAAAAATAAATTAAAGTTAATTTAAATAATCTCTTGCGCCATTGCTGCAAGGAATGAAATTTGAATTTAACAAACATTTTCTATTCGTAAAAATTAAAGTTAATTAAAATTTAAATGAAATTTAATGCAAACAAATAAAGGATTAATTATTGCTGCGAACTAATATACAATATCATTTAAATTCTGAGAGCATATGTAAATCAAGTGCAAGTATCAAAATCCATGAATAAATATAATAATTCCAAAAATTTATTTATCCTATTATTCAGTTATGCATTTTTATAAGTTTTTTTAGGATTAAATCTATCATCCTATTATTCATTTATGCATTTTTATAATTTTTTTAGGATTAATAATCTATCCTATTTATTCACTATGCATTTTTTTTTTATAATTTTTTTAGGATTAATAATCTATCCCATTATTCCACTTATGCATTTTTATAAATTTTTTAAGGATTAATAAATTTTTGGAATTATATATTTATTCATGGAGATTTGATACTTGCACGGCAATAATTAATCATTTCTTTGTTTGCATTAAATTTCATTTAAATTTAATTAACTTTAAAATTTGCTTTTTACGAATAGAGAATGTTTGTTAAATTCAAATATATATGTACAGGATATGCTTTAAATTAGTATTATATAATTTTCAAACTTTTTTTGCGGGAAAAATTTAAATAAAAAGAGCATAAATAAAAACAATATATTTAATGCATATAATAATAGAAATAAATTATAAAACACGAATATAGATAAATTGGAATAAAAAGGTAAGAAAGTTTGCAGACATGGTGCAAAAAGCGTATGGGATTCGAACTCACGACTCCAAAAAGCGGACATCGTTACATCAGCTTTTACCACTAAGCTAGGATTACACGTAAGTCGCATGCATATTTTTGGTTATATACATCATCAAGTAAATCAATTTCTTAAAACTTAAGTTTTTTTGGTCCTATTTCACTTTGCTAATTGTCTGAAAAAATTCACCAGAGTTTGTTCTTCAGCTTCTAGTACATTTTTTGGAAAAATCATTATCTTTTAAAGTGGCGTTCCGATTGAAGTTAAACGGGCTGCTAAAAATATATTTCATGTGCTTACAAATATGTTATCCAAAAAGATATATTTATAAAGGGAAATACAAATTTAACATACTCTTCAATGAACTGAAGTATTTAAAAGGCTATCAAATTTAATTTATAATTAACGTTTTTTAGTTTTTACCTGTTTTCAAAAAAAAAAATAGCAAATCTTTTAATCATATATAATTTGCTATAGCAGTTTAATATAGTCAGACATTCCTTTTCATTAAAGCTAAAATGAGTATGCAGAACTAGGAAATATGATTGTCAGGACAAATTTTGCTAGTTCATGGACTTGGAAATTATAATTTTTGCCGCTGATTTTTCTTGAACGCCGGATTTTATCTAAGTACTGTAGTTGCAGTTATCTTATTTTTTTATCTTTTTTTAACTAAATTCAGCTGATTGCTGACTTTTTCAGCAGGCAGATTTCTCGCTATAATGTTAATTCAGAAATAAGCATATTTTAGCAAAACAGTATTTCCCTATTAGCGAGTGTTCATCACTACTTCTGCCGCCATTAATTTTTGGTGACTACACTTGATTCCTCCTTTTTTACCACGTGACTCCAACGCATCCGCAGACATTTGAATAGAAGTGGTGAACTGTGGTCCGTATTGTAATTACGGCAAAGCACACCGACCGGATTGCAGATGTCAATCAAAGTGAATTCGCTCGCTGATTGGAGAAACGCATACGCACCGCAACGCATACGCAAGTAGTGGAAACGGGCCTTAATACTAAAGCTGTGCCGACATATTTATTTGAATGTACTCTTAGTACAATTTACAAATTATAGAGTATGACTTTATAAAAGCAAGTAACCAATGGTTATTACTTTTAATGCTTATTATGCAAATAATATTAAAACAATGCATAAATGTAACAGAAAAAGCTGATAATAAGAGGCATGATATTAAAACAATGCACTATTTTGAAGATTTAGTAAGATGCAAGTATGCTGTGGCTGTTTTTATATGAAAATTTTCATATAAAATAGGAATTTCTCAAAACTTGTACCTGTCACTTCCAGTACCATATTGGATAGTCTAAGAGGAATTCCTAGGAATAGAAACTTAAAAAACAGGTTTTTTTTTTGTTTTTTTTTCTGTATGGAGTAGTTAGTTTGAGTAAGATTTACCCACTGCATGTGCTAATGCTTCACAGTCACTTTACATTATGATTCTGACTATGTCATTATATTATTACTACTATAACATTATATTGTGACATTATGATGGAAGCTGTGAGATCTTGCAAATGCTTCGACAGGCGGAAAAAACTGACAGCATACAGAATCGATGACATGCACAATCATCAAGCGAGATTGGCCCCAATAAAGAAACATTTTTGAAAAAATAATTAATAATTTTAAAAAAGTATACAGCATTTCTGAGTATTGTACTATTGATGAAAAGCTAGAACCATTTCGTGAAAGATGCTAGTTTCACTAATACATCAATAGCAAACCAGGGAAGTTTGCTATTGATAGCTAATGATAAAGATTTTTGCACTGTGTAATTTTTATACTATTTATAAATTCAATAATGAAACCAATCATTTATCATGACGAAATTATTTGAAGAAACTTGCTGTTCAGTTAGTAAAGAAGCATCTTTTTAATGGATCAGAGAATACAAATATAATACAGTACAAAGTCCAAAATCCGGACGTCCATTATCTGGAATGATCTAAAATCCGGACCTCAAAACCATCAACAAAGTCTTTCTAGTAGGCTTTACGCATGCACATTTGGTTCCCCCCCCTCTGCACACAGTAAAGCATCTGGAGAGTCCCAATTCTTAATTTCACTTCAACACTAAATAAAATACCTAGTTATTGAAGAAACAATCATTTTAGCATAAATTTGTACGATCAGTAATGTGGCTGCGTATCTGCTCGGCACACATCTGAAACCGAAACATTCCACATAGATAAATCATTGATCTGACGTCAACCTGGTGAATCATTATTTATTATACTTTTATCACCGCATGTTTATTAAAACATTACAACTTGAGTAATGACTCATGTAGCGATGCCTAAACAATTGTTTATGTTAGTAATTGAATAACAAAGGAGTATGGTAACTATTTATGTTGACATTACGCTTGGCAATGATTACCATAATCTGGCGCACACGCACTCTTCCGAGATGTCAACAAATCGCCAAAGGCCTGTTATCTGAAAACTGTCCACCTAAGATTACATTTAGGGCTATTTGAATTACGAATATCTGATTTGTTATTCACATAAACCCAGAGCCAGGGCTCTTAGGACCCCCAAAGACTACATCAAGTAAGATATCTAGTGCAGGCCGTCAATAAGGCTTAAATATGTGTTCAGTCTTTGATGGTGTTTTTTTTTTTATAATCACAAAAGTGAAATAGAATGGTCACTTGAAAGAATTTTTTTCAGATACTCTGACTTATTTTTACCTTGATACAGATTGGAGGGGGAAAAACTTTTACAATGATGTCAATAATTTGGTATTTCCGTTATGTGCATTATTATTCAGGAAGTATTTTTTCTTCGATATTTCATTCTCCATGTTGTGTTTTCCGGAACCTATAAATTGAATGTTTATATTTTGAGAGGCCATGCGGATTTTCGGTATTTGACTGTATCATAAATATATCAGTTGTGTATGATGGAAAATGTAGAGAAAACATTTAAACTTACATAATAGCTGACTGTTGAAGAAGGACGTCAGTTTATCGTTCTTACATTTCTTTTACAATAAACAGCCATTTTAAAAATTAATACTGGATTAAGTAATTCCATTACCTATTAGGAAATAATTATATAACCATCTATCTAAATGACACTTCTCAAAAAGACAGTTACTATTTTTGAGAACATAAGCACTAGTCCTGAAAAAAAAAAAAAAAAAAGGCACAATAAGACATAAAAAAGGTGGGCATAATTGTAATGAAATCAAAACAAGATTCAGATATACATAATTGGAATATAAAATTCATTATTTTGTTGAGAGTAAATTGTCTAAAAGAAATACTGGTAATTTTCTGGACCGGATTCAGAAATATGTATGTATGTACATGTGTGTATATGCACATACAATACATATTTTTCTGGATCTGGTCCCCTTATAACAGAACAGTACCAAAATATTTAATGAATAACATTGCAAATCAAAACTAAACTATGTCAAAGTAGTAAGGGAAGCCTGTTCTAAACTGTTTTAATTGACAAAAGCTGATGTTTATGGTATCAGAAAGTAGTTTTCCAAGGAGGAAATCGGTGAGAGAAGGCAATGGATGAATCGGCATTGAGCTGAAGATGAATCAGAAAAGGTTAAAAATGACACTAAGCTAGTCTCTCCAATCCACTGGTTCTCAGCAGGGTTGGTATTGACTCCCTAGAGGTTGAGGATATTATGAAGAGGGTTATTGATGATTAAGGGGTTGATAACTGAATATGAGTAGCGCCTCGTCCTAGCACTGCATTTGCTTCACGCGCACACACACTGGCAACTGATCAGCATTAATCAAAATCCCATTGAACACAAAAAAAAATTAAACTGATAATCATTTATTGATAAAAAAGTGTGTAATGAGAAAGAATCCTGTACAACAAATATATACAGAAAATACCAAAAATTATTTTGACATATTTTTTAAAATGAATAATGTAATTTTTTTTTTTTTGCATTAAAATGCTATAACAATTAAAACACGTAAACAATACAATGAATGAATAAAACTAATGCACCACAGCAAAATTTACAGCTATTCTTTCACTCATGTTGGCCGTTTAAATTTGTAAAGATGAAATAATAGAGGAGTTTCTTTGTGTAATAACTCTCGAAACGTGCACAAGAGAAGACATGTTTCATTGGGTTGAAAGTATTTTCAAGGATTAGTGTATATTTTAGAGTATCCTTTGGATTATAAACAAGTTGTTTCATTTATGGTAACCTGTAGTTGAATGATATGAAAACCCTGTTATGACATGATTGTGGTGAATTTGACTGATGGGAAAATATTTGTGTTGGATATTGGTTAAGAAGTACATTGCTTATTTTATGCTTTACACCATAAAACACCTGCTGCTGATTAACCTAAAGTTTTTGTACACTTTAGAATGATTGGGAAAGAAAACACCAATTGACTGGTGTGTAAATGAAGATTTAAATAGCTTCGTTCACCTCTCAGTAAATTACGCAGTGAGATTTAAGGATCTGGAAACCTTAGCTTATATCAACACAATGGAAGGCATGTGGGGTGTAATAAAAATAGATTTTTGAAAGGAATGCAAATTTTCACCAGTACAGAGAATATTTTTAATTTTTACTTTTGTGAATTTATGTGGCGACGGCAGTAGTATATAGATTCTAGTTCAAATAATTTTAAATGGTTTTTGAATGCTGTTCAGGATAATTCTGTATGCTATGCACCGAAGACATAGAAATTTCTAAATAAGGTAAGCTGATAGTTCCTTTTTGTACTGTGCAGGTTAGATAACATATATTTCCTTTTGTATGTCATTTCCATGTTTTATTTAGATTTAAAATGCAGTTTGTGGAAATTATAATTTTGTTTTGGTTGCTTGTTTTGTTTTTATTATGTTTTGGATGCCATTTTATGGAAGCGTTGCACTTAAACAGGAATGGCACCAATTTTCACCAAGGGGAACCCTAAAATTCATTTTTCTCAACTTGATATTCAAGTTGATAATAAATAAGATGATTGCTCTACTTTAGAACAGAAATTTTTCCCATTCATTTGTCTATTCTAACATGAGTTTAATTTTTTATATGCTCAACTATCCTAAATTTTCACACATCTGGAATTCAACATTTTTGGAGCTTTTCTTGTGCGTTGAAGTTTACTGGCGAACTACTTGGCAATAATTTTTCATCAAGCTAATGCCGCAAAAGACAACCATTTTCAAAATGGCAGTGCAGCAAAAAATTCATACAAAAGCAAACAATCAGCAAGATTTTAAAAGCAATAAACATAAGCTATGGCATAAGATCTCTCATTTGATAATTTAATAGATCTTGTTTATCATGTATAAAACATGTAATACAACTGCTTCAAATTATTAGATGTATCACTCAAAATTTATAAATATTTCCACATTTATATGGTAAACTAAAGAGTTCTGTGAATTTGTAGGTGTACAGTACGAAAAAGGTTCTTCAACATAACAACAACCATTTTCTTTTACTCCTTCCAAATATTGCAAAATTCTTGAAATCTCCAAAGGACTGAAATCTTATTTTATTTCACAAGAATACCTTTCAGAGATGATAATGATTGTAGTGAAATGTATTTGTGGTTTGTGCAAAGGCAACTTATATTATTTAACAAAATTATCTTTATTAAGGATATCACAAAAGCAACTGCAACTGATATTGCCAGTGAAATTGAAAAATAAAAACAAAGCTTGATAGTAAAGTTATGCTTCAAGAAGCAAAAAACATTTTAGAATACTAGGAAATAATGAAATTATTAATCCTACAAAAGTTTACATTTTATAATACAGTCAAAAGTCGTTAATCCAGACTCGTCGGGACTTCGGCGATTCCGGATTATAGATCATCAGTTTAAATCTCGTAAGATGGCATGCAGAAATTCTAAAATTTAAAATATGAAACTGTAATTTATGAAATAAAGAACAATTATGATCTAAAGGGTATCAAATTTACAAAAAAAATCTTAATATTTATTTGTTACTTTATTAAACATTTCCTTTCAATGTAAGTTGTTTAAGTTGCTTCGTTTATGTGATAAAACTTTCTCTTTAATTCTATAAACTGACATCATTTCTTGTTCAGTTACAAAGTTTCGCTGTTCGAGGTCCCTTAATTGGCTGTGCCGAGAATACCGACTGACTTGTCAATTGAAATTTTTTTCGTTTTTCACTAACCTCTCTGTCACATTCTTCATGTCTTTATTCATTTTTTTGCAGCAATTCCACTTTTTGTTTGTTGGACATCAAAAACATACTTTGTTTTGTAGATCCTTTGGGAGTCCAGCATCGGAAATTCTATTTGACATAATCGAAAGTTCAAGTTTACTTTTATAGTATTGCTCTTACAATCTGCAAAAATAATAAGCCGATCCATTCGAAAATTAAGGAACAACGCAATCATCAACATTAACTGACATAGATAATTAAGATAATTTTAGCTTATACCGTCCGTTATACATAAAACGCGCACGCAAAAACATATTCTGCGCTTGCGCACACGCATATGCGCAGACGTAAAAGGTCTTACGCGCACGCGTAAATGCCTATGCGCTTGTGTCAACGCGGCGCATGCGCAGAAAGTTTTTAGCTTTGAGGTCCGGATTATAGATCATTCCGAATTATGGGTGTCCGAATTAACGACTTTTGACTGTAGATGTTTTGCTTACACTGATCTATGAGACGAACAGTTTTGGTGGAGCTTACTCTTTTTTGTATAAACAACAGTAAATTAACATGGTTTCAAACTAAAGCTCCAGATTAAAAAAAAATAAATAAATAAAAAAAAAAAATTAAATTAAAATTAATGAAAATGTCGCAGATTATGCAACGAACATGGATCTATTTTTTGAAAAATTAATGATTTCAAAAGCTTTTTGTTCAGCCAGTTATAAAATGCATGTTTATGGATACATTTTTTTTGGTCATTTCATTATAAAATGCACTTCATTGCTTAGTTCTATTCAAATAACAGAATACATTTCTAAGCATGCAAAATACATCCACACCTGTCCAAAGAGTATTCTCAATAACGAACATGATATGGTTTGCAGAAAGATGTAAAATGGCTGAACCAAAGATAAAAGCTTTAGTAAGCTGCAAAATTAATAGTGAACAAAAACTGCAGTGAATTTTTCGATGCCATTAAAAATAACAAAGAATTTTAAAAGAAACTTCAACTAGTGAAAAATACTAATGATAAATACTACTGAATGAGGTTTGTTGAATCACCAGAAATTTATTTTAACTCATTGCTGTTTTTTGTCAACAACTTCTTTACTATAGTAGTACCTTTTCAGTCATAAAAGTAACTTTCTCAAGTTTCATTTTCTGTTGCGAGTATTTTCTCATAATTGTCCCAGTTTGAGCAAAAAATATGGTATGCCTAATCAGAGTTCTTAGAAAATTGATGAAAAATAAAATGCCATAAAGTGTATGCTTTTTGGATTACTACTAAGGTAAGATAATGTAATCAAGAATACAAAAAGGACCACAGGATGTTATTTTGCTGAATGCCTGCTAAAAGATGAACTTTTATGATAATGAAGTTAAATTAATTATGTTAAGCTCTCAAGAATTATTTGCCAAGATCTTTTATGATACCTGCAAATATGAAACAAAAAAAATTATAAAAGAGGTTAAATTAATTGATTATGTCAAAGCACTGAAAAGTTATTTGTCTAGGATGAGGCATGTCTTTGTGGAAAGCATGAATTCAAGAAATTTTATGTTAACAGTAAATATAAGATGAAATAGTATCAAACAAAAACACATTTGGAAATAAATGTAAAATACGGTTAACTGATTATTGCATGTTACAACAGCATTAATTTAAGCAACTCAAAAACATCAACATGAACAAAAAAAAGATAACTTCTATTTCCCTATACGCTTTTCAAATAAGTTCTCATATATTTGAGCACAAAGCTCACCCCATATGCTTTTTTAAGTACCTAGCAAATAATTGCTCGCATACTTGGGAACAAAGTGACCTAATTTCACACATTCCGCAGCACTTCGCTTACGAATCGCAGAAATCTGAATTCATCGCCATGCCAAACATACATAGATGTTCTTCTGCCAAGCGACGAAGGCAAAGAATATGTATTGTTCTTTGAACATAGACCTTTAAGACACAGACGTCCTTTAATGAAGGTTACCACAAGGAGGTTAGAATTCTAACCGATCTCCGTAGACGGTAGTTGAATGTGGTACCCGTTTTGTTTTCGAAATGTTGTGATCGGAGAATTCCTGTCCAAAGTAAGCAGTAGTTATGCAGTTGAGTAACGTTACTAAAATACTGAATGTTTTCCACCATTAAGATATACGAATCATTTTATCACTGTACTAAACTCTGAATGTAAATAGTCGCGTTAATCTGTGTATGTTCATAGGTAAAGTGAAATAAATTGGATATAAAACGAAGTTGGATTTCGAGTCAGAACATACGGTGTAGCAATTTATTTTCTACAAAAAAAAAAAAAAAGTCTTCCCATTATGGCTCATTTTGCTGTGGTGTGTGTTGGATATAAAACGAAGTTGGATTTCGAGTCAAAACGTACGGTGTAGCAATTTATTTTCTACAAAAAAAAAAAAAAAAAAAAAACTTCCCATTATGGCTCATTCTGCTGTGGTGTGTGTTGGAGTTGCTGTGCTCTTGTTATTCCTTTAGCTTCAGCGTCGTACTTTTGTACGTACATCATCGAGATCAAACAGCAATGCCACAGCAGCTGATCACAAATGTGAAAATTGCCTGATATGTCGTGATAGGCAAGCAAATACACGATTAATTCCCTGCGGACATGAATGCCTGTGTTTTAACTGCATTAAATTATTTCTGAAGTATGATAAGAAGCGCTCTATGTGCGGTACCAATATAAATAATTATTCGAGATTGCCTTGAACACTTGTGTACTGAAACAAAATGTTCATAAAATTGCTGGGAAAAAAAAAATTTTTTTTTAGGAATATTAACGTGTAAACCATTTTAAGGGGAAAGTGCAGAATCACCCACTGCTTGGCACGTTTTTAAGAATTGCACATACTTGGTATCCATGTACACATCGACCTATTTTCACTTAAGGAAAAAAATCCCAGAATTGCACAAAAATGGCACTGCGTACCTCCGTTGTCTTTATCTATGTACACATCGACCTATTTTTCACTTAAAAAGTAAAAGAAAATTGACAGAAATCCAATTCTTCTTACTCTTGTAAAAGGACAACAAACAAAGAAGTGGGCGATTCTGAATTATTTTGGTAAAAAAATATTTTGAACATAACTTAGAAAATTAAATAAATCTCTTAACTGAATATGAATGCTGAGTAGTGAAAGTTTTAGCCTTTTTTAACTCAAAATTTTCCAGCACAAACATCATTCAAAATATTCATTTTATTGTTAGTTAAACATTTTCTTGCAAGAAAAATATCTTTAATTATGTAAATGTTAAATTATGTTTCCGAATGGTAGAAAACTACTAAATGTTGAAAAGGGGATACAGAATCAAAAATTAGTTAAAATAAGTTTTTTTTTTTTTTTTTTTTTTTTTAAGTTTTTTTTAGTTTGAAACTTTTGTCTTATTTTGAAGATTGACTTTTAAAACAAATTGTGCATGTTGATGCTTAGGTATAATATTTTTTTTTTTTTTTTTTTGTTTAACCGTCTGATGGTTCTGAGAAAGATAAGGTATTGTTTTGTAAAGCGTCAGCAGCTTTCTCAACAAAACTTTTGTAAAGTGTGGAACGTTTATTTCACTGAAAGCGTTAAAACAGTTTTTCTTAACCCCCCTTCCACACACACACACCTGCGGAGAATCATCAATCATCTCAGATGAACTGATTAGTGTCGGCTGTAAAAGTATCAATCATGGTCAGAACTTTGTTTTTCAGTAGTTTTCAAGAAGTAGTGATCTGACTTGTAACAGTAATTGTTTGCTTTAGTTATGGATTTTGTTATCAAATGAAAATTTTGTGGGAAACTGAAAATCGAGACTTGAAAAAAGAAAACAATTGCTTGCCTAGGATAGAAGGAATATTTTCTCACTGAAACAATATGATTTTTGATAGTTTCCAAGATAGTTTACTTTTTTTCAATAAAGTAAAAAGTAAAATATGTTGGGAACATAGAAAATTTCTTATTTTATTTGTAACTTTTTGTATTTTTCATCAAGTTTATTTGAAACTATGGATATAAATAATATTTCACAATTTACTTAATATAAAGACAGGACTAATTAAATTAATATAAAGTAAAAAACTATTTATTTACTTATCACAGACGTTTAAGTTTTTGTTATGCAATTTTCCTCTTTTGTGTACAGCAATAAGTAAGGAAAGCCGCTAGTTTATTAATTGTGCCATAATGATATTGTTTTCTTTAAAATCTAAGAAAATATCTGTGTATTTTACTATTCCATTACTTACTTTTTTTTTATGGGGGGGGGCTAAAAGCAAATAAACAGTTGCTCAGAAATTTTCGTGTTGAAAAATTATAAGAGCATTAATGAAAAAGAATTAGATTGTGATGAATTGATTCTTATGGTTTTATTAGTCTGTATACCTTTAATTATATTGAAAGATTATTTCCCAGAATTCACTACATTCTTAAATTTTATTTTTCAGTATAATAATATGCACTTATTTTTAAAATGTGTAAATAGTGAAAGTTTTGAAATATGAAAAGAAACAAATTATGTTAGCACTCAAAAAATGCAAATGATAACAAATTTTAAAATAAAATTGTGTAGAACTGAGCATGATTAGATTCATTTTCCTTCAGTTTGGTTTTCTCAAGAATATTTATGTGCTAATATGCATGCTCAAAAACGTGAATAGTCAAGAAAGTCTAAGCAACAGGTTTGATTCATATGGCTCATATGTAATTATTACAGTACAAAGTTCCGGACATTCATTATCCGGAATGATCTAAAATCCGGACCTCAAAACCACCAGCAACGTTTTTCTCCTATGCTTTATGCATGTGCATTTGATCCCCCCCCTCTCCGCGCATAATAAAATATCTGGAGAGTCCTCATTCTTAATTTCGCTCCGACACTAAATAAAATACCTTGTTTTTGAAGAAACAATCATTTTAGCATAAATTTGTACCATCAGTAATTTGGCTCCGTTGCTGTGTATCTACTTGACACACATCTCAAACCGAAACATTTCACATAGATACATCATTGATCTGACATCAAGCTGGTGAATCATTATTTATTATACTTTTTGTCACCGCATGTTTATTAAAACATGATAACTTGAGTAATGACTCATGTAGCGATGCCTAAACAATTTTCTTTATGTTAGTAATTGAATAATAAAGGAGTATGGTAACCTTTTATGTTGACATTACGCTTGACAGTGATTACAGATTTAAGTTCAATACGTTAAAAAATGTTGACGAGGAAAAATATACCAAAAATTTCTTTCCATATGCTAAAAATAGATTTTGTTGGATTGATGATACTCATAGACCCAAGATTACATTTAGGGCTATTTTAATGAAATAACTGATCTGTTTATTCGCATAAGACTAGAACAAGCGTTGGGCTCGTAGCTTCTTTTAGAGAAGCACCAAGCATAAATTAAGGATAGCAAATCTATAGACTTTAGGAGTGGTAAATTTTGGGAGACTTTGGCACCAAATTTCAGATCTACAGAGGGCTGTCCACGGCCCACAAAATGTTTAATGCCAGCCCTGGATAAGCCTTAAGTAGATGAGGAATTTATTTTCAGAACTCTGATAGCCTTAAGCATGTGCAAAGAAATAGGCATAAGTATAATAAATAACTAAAGTATACAATTCAGGCTTAATGTCTCAGTGCATGATAGAGCAAGATGACAACTTGTTACGCTCATGAGTACGCTCATGGCTATTAGCTAAATTTGATGATGATAGCTGTTAATTTTAAAGGTTTTTTCTCAAAATAAAGGTAAGTTTTCCAATAACGATTTGTAAAGAAATGTGAAGAAGCAGGAATAATGAAGATGATTAAAGAAGTTTTTTCGTTGTGATGACAATGCTTCAATCATCAATCAATTAATGAATGGCGAAGTCTGTAGTATGTTTCTAGATCCAGAAAATAACCGATATGTAGAAAGAAGTTACTAAAAATGAGAAAATTCCAATAAAATAAGTTGTCTACAGAGATTTAATGTCTGTCTACAGAATTAAAGAGAAAGTATTAGCACAAAAAACGAAGCAAACTAAAAAAACTTACATTGAAAGAATGTTGGTACTACAGTCAAAGTCGTTAATTCGGACACCATAATCCGGAATGATCTATAATTCGGACCTCAGATCTAAAAACTTTTTGCGCATGCGCCGCGTTGATACATGCGCATTAACGTTTGCACGTGCGCGTAAGACTTTTACGATTGCGCATATGCGCGTGCGCAAGCGCAGAATACATTTTCGCGTGCGTGTTTTATGTATAACGGATGGTATAAGCTAAAATTATCTAATTATCTATTTCAGTTAATGTTGATGATTGCGTTGTTGTCCTTAATCTTCGAATTGGATCCGGCTTATTATTTTTTGCAGACAGTTAAGTTCTAAAAGTAAGCTTGAACTTTCGATTATGTCAAATAGAATTTCCGATGCTGGAGCTCCCAAAGGATCTAAAAAACGAAAGTATGTTTCGATGTCCATCAAACAAAAAGTGGAATTGCTACAAAAAATGGATAAAGACATATGCTTTGTTTATCTAACCGTTCCGATATCTGTTTATCACTGCGCGGGGGGGGGGAAACGTCGCGGCGCGCAATGAACTGGAAGTTGATCTCTCAGCACTATCATTATCTTCAGGGCAGATGTTTTATTTTATTGGCTTATAATTCCTTACTAAATGTAGTATTTTATTCGATGTACTCCGTCTTGATATGATTTAAATCAAATTCCTCGTCATTATAAAATATCACGAATACAAATCAAATAGTTTTCTGGTTGCAATTTTCTAATTTCGGCTATGCGTAATGTATGCTTTACGCATGCGCGCGTTGAAAGAAATGTTAAATAAAGTAAACAAATAAATATTAAGCTTCTTTTTTTGTAAATTTTGATAACCTTTAGATCATAATTGCTCATTATTTTATGAATTACGGTTTCATATTTTTCATTTTATAATTTCTGCATACCATCTTAACAGATTTAAACTGATGATCTATAATCCGGAATCGCCGAAGTCCCGACGATTCCGGATTAAAGACTTTTGACTGTATATAGCCTATGGGCTATTTGGTGCAAGGAGGATTTAAAAAATGGGAACATATTCAGTACCTATAATACCTTGGGGTATCATCAAAAACTTGTTTTTGCATTAGGCCAACTTAAGACAATACACAACAACAGACGAAAATCTGTGGATGTTTCATTGGATCAATGTAAAATCAAAGAAAATCGACAGCAACTGAAGCCCATAATAAAAACAATATTATTGTGTGGAAAACAAGGTTGGGCTTCATGTGAGCATGTGGATCAGATCAGGACCAATTGATCTACATAACTTAACCTCATTGAAGAAAACTTCAGGGCTATCTTAAGATTTCCATTCAATCTGGAGACAGATATCTGGAAGATCATCTACTACAAAGAAAAATGCGTTGTGAACTTCCAGTTCTCTGATACAAACAAAAATTATAGAATAAGTAATAAAGTCGAAATCTTTCTCAGTTTTGATTAACGAAACAAGTGATGTTGCAACTATCGAGCAAATGTTTTATCTTGGATAGTTTGACCAGAAGCAATTTGTGAACTTTTTTTTGTGTTTTTCATTCCTCTTACTTTTGCAACTGCACAAAGTATTTCACAGATGATTTTGAAAATTTAGATGCAGATGATCATTTTGAGATACTTTTTTTCTAAAGCAACAGGTAGGTGTGAGAAACATGAGATGCTAATCATTATTCTGAGGACCAATAAACGATAAGTGGATTGGTCCAACAATACCTAAATCCTACCATCTGACAACTATTTATATTACTGATCTTACTATCATATCTCTTTTTGTCTTCCATAGATATCATGATAATAG